TTTATCTACAATCCTCCCCCCTACACCATACTCAAACGAAGAACTCAAGTACACAACATATAATAGATATTGGCCCAAACCACAAAGCCGGTGAATCACCGGGGGTGATGTAGTGACTAAAGCGGTAGTAGTAGTTGACTTCACCGGTTTGTTGACCACTTGATCCACAACTGCTGATCAAATTAGTGATGGAGCGGGATACTGAATCCCGGTATCCAAAACCACAGCAGTAGCCATGATCAGATATACAGGTCAACATGTCCAGCCGGTGAGCCAAGATACGAAACCGCAACCTTGAAGTAATGGTACTACAGCTTAGTCCCCGAAACTCCCCAATACGCACAAAAACCAGTCATTCATGGGGCAAAACTACAAATACTTTCTCAACCCCGAGTTAGATTTTGCAAAACCAGACCTCACCTAGCTCCCCGACAACGAATAAAGTTTACTACTCACCCACGACTTGTTTATCTTTCTTTTTCAACCACTGGTCGTACATCTCATTCCTCCAATTCTCGCTATTTCCAACCTCCACCTCTCCACACTGACCGTTGGCACCCTGGATCGGAGATCTCTGATAAACTCTACCCGACCACCCTGGGACCAGTCCCTTACTGTCTGTTTTGCAAACTGAGAGCTGTCAGCCAAATTAGCATCTTGAGTATAACGCTTCATAGAATTTGAGCGTTCCATCTCCCTAAGGCTTGGATCTCCTCCCAGCTAATATGTCGACTGAGAGACTGTGTTCCATGCCTCCTGAACGAATGCGTACCAAAACACTCCGGTCTAAATTTATCACTTAACACTACCGCACTCGACTCACGCAGGTCATCCCACCTTTGCTATAGACGACAACCGCGCACTCACAGGGTTTGGGAGCTCCCCCGTAAAACGTACATATGGTCAACAATTACATGTGTTGATGATGATATGAACATTCCTGGGAACTACTGGGAATTTCCTTTTGGTTTCTGTATACTTCTACCCGAATTCGTATGTATACCTGTATGATAAGCTTTGGAAACTCTTGAGCTCAGCCGAGGAAAGCGATCACATATATTCCTCCAAATCTATATAGGAAACTCCTGATCTCAGCGGAGGAAGGCGAACATGTATTCCTCCAACACTGTATAGGAAAATCCCGAGCTCAGTAGCTGAGGAAAGCGATCACATATATTCCTCCAAATCTATATAAGAAACTCCCGAGCTCAGCGGAGGAAAGCGAACATGTATTCCTCCAACACTGTATAGGGAAATCCTGAGCTCAGCTGACTCAGCTGAGCTCAGGATTTTCCTAGCTGAGCTGAGGGAAACGATTACATATATTCCTACTCCAACACTGTATAGGAAACTCCTGAGCTCAGCAGCTGAGGAAAGCGGCCATATATTCCTACTCCAACACTGTATAGGAAACTCCTGAGCTCAGTAGCTGAGGAACACGATTACATATATTCCTACCCCAACACTTTCTAGGAAACTCCTGAGCTCAGTAGCTGAGGAAAGCGATTACATATACTCCTACTACTACTGATACTAATCTGCCTCTATTGGAAGGTTATGTATTGAATTATGCGTTCGGGTAATAATATGAATTGTAGTATTGTCAAACTCGTGTGCGCATTGTCAAACTTGGTTGTTACAAAATAGACAAGTGACAAACTTAGATTTTCATTGTCAGTCTCGAGTATAACAAATTTAGATTGTGTCATACTTGAATTCTCAAAGTAGAACTTGATTGTAACAGAATCGAACTGTGAGAAGCACCTTGTCACAAGGTGGAATTCTCAAGCTCAAACTTGCTTGTAGAATAGCGAATATGCTAGAGAGTATCAGTAGTACTGATTCAGAACGGGATGTCTCGGGTGTCTATAAGTGCAGGGTGGTATACTAGCACCTCCGGTGCTTCAACCTTCCGACTCGCATAGCAGACGACCATTCGATGGTCATCCGACGGCTCCGTCGGCTCCGCGAATCGGAGCCGCTCCGACTCGGAGCATGACCAGTGGTATGTTTGTCGAGCTGATGAGGATCAGCCATCAAGGTCCGGCGCTCCCGGGGATTGACTCTCCACCAAGTGCGGTCAGGGCTTACGAGTCTTTTATCGATCGAGTATGGGCGCACTGGGCCGCCATTGGCGGCACGCCAAGAAAAGCAGAAGAGTTGAGTGATCCTGGTGCTGACTCATTTTTCCTGGGAGGGTTACCTTTCTCTGGTCGAGTTTCCGATGCATCGATTAGGAATCAAAATCAATGGACGCGGAATCTGGCTGTTGGATTCCCAGTATCAAAACGTGATAATCATGTTGAGTTGAGTTCATCCGAAAGTTTTGGACCGAAACAGTCAAATATTCACACCTATGATGGAGACAATGTTTCGGAAACATCGATGCGAAAACAGGCTCAATTGGTGTGTTATTGACGCATCGCCAACGACGCATCAAGTGAGTGCGCCCTGAATTTTAAGGGCACCTTCAGGTGCGAACAGGGAAATCTCTGGATAAACCCCGAGAATGGATGAACGCCCCTGACTATTAAGATTATGGATCCTAATATTCTTAATAAGACTGTCTTAACCTGGTTCCGTCCAACTGGCTGAATTTCTTCTTCGCAGTTGACATCGTGTAATTTCCCAGCAATCTAGATTGGTTATGCCAACTTCACTTTGCCAATCGCTTGTTGGTTGCTGGCCATTGGATTTTGGGTCCAAAAATCTATCAATTCCAACCGGAACTTCATCAGCCGGTTGAGTCTTTGACAAAGACTCTTTGTCGTGCAGTTGGTTTTGTGTTTGGCTTCGGTTTTCCCAAGACATTCGAATGGTGGAGTCAACTCTTTCTCCTCAACCATTGGAATTTGATGTGTCTTCCCTGACGATGGTTGATCTCCGCGCTCCATAGTGGTTGCTATTTTCGCTCATTCAGTAATTTAAAGCCGGTGTTGTTCAAGCACTCAGTTTTATTCCCCTACTGGAATGTGATGGTTTTCAATCGCGAAACATACCCAGTCGTCAAGATTGAATATCTTGCTAATTCAGTGAACTGTCGCAGAAAATTTGGAGGTGTGGCTTCATAGTCAGTTAATCGGGAATCCCGATTTGGGGTATAGTTATAAGTTGAGCAAAGGGCAATCACAGCTGAGAGCTAGCTTTTTTCGCTGGGATCTACAAGCGGGCTAGAGATCCAGTGAAGAAGAATGGATAGGAATATAAGACCGAAAGTAGAATGAGCCACAGGCAAAAAATGACTACGTTAACAAGGGTCGATAGAGCAATTGAATGACGTTTAGGTCTCGGCATCAACTGATAAGGGCGATTTGGAACAGACAAAAATCTAGTTAGTCGTCCAGGATGTGGATTCCAGGGGCTCAGGGAGGGACTTTCGGCGAACGATTACCGGGGCAGAAAATGGGGACGACGAGACGCTGAAAGGCTTAGTCGTAGCTGACGCCTCTGTCACAGCAATTGTTGCGGTGATGCCGCGACGCGAGGGAACGGAGGCATTATACGGGACGTGTCACACTTCGCAGAAATGACTTCTGATGCAAAGGAAGAGAGGTAGCGTTCGACTCGAAAGTTTCGAGCCACGCGCGGCATTGGCTCAGCAGAATTTACTGAATAAATAAGATTTTGATACACGGTAGACAAGTTCTAGTTTGTTGTTCAAGTGACATACTATAGGATGTTTCGGTTATTTGAATCCCTATAAAAACAGATGAGTTTGTCGATACAAGACCCTTGTAACAAGGGTAAAGAATATAACGTGTATAATGGGATACGTCTTTTGAACTGAAAGTTGTTTGATGAATACACTATGTAGGTAGATTATTCTGGAGTAGGGATTGTCGCCATCCAAGGATCCAACCATCGGAGAGGCCTCAGCTGCAGGCCTTCAAGATGCGCCACCGAATGAATCTTAACAAGAAGTTAAGAGGAAGGTCGGTAATTGATAGTGCCCGACAACGGTATGAGTGTGAAAGAAGATACCACGAATAAACTTGCAGCTTCCTAGTTTCAGGGGAGGAAGTTCCTCCGAGGAACTATAATCTCTTTGTTAGAGCGTACAATGGATCGTGTCATACGATCCGTGTGCTTGTGTGTTACGCACGCGCCCGCACAATTGAAGTGCCTATTTTGTGTCGGAAGGCGTGAGCATTCCACGTGTGGCTTAACCTTAACGTGTGTACATGTTTATCTCGGAGATAAACATGTTTATCTTCCCCATCCATCTCGGAGATAATATCTCCGAGATGGATGGGGAATTAAAGATTCAAATCCCCAGTTCGGTCCAAAGGGTAATGCTGGTTCGAGCTAAGTGAACATACAGGTTGATGCATTCAACCTCGTATCCTCAGTTATATTCGTACTTGCACGCTCATGAGTGCCCCAAGGGTCTGTGTGGAAGCACGGGAAACACGCGTCATGATACGTGAGGAGGAATTTGAAGTTTTCTCAAATGTTTGTGATGACTTTGATCCTGCAATATGTGTCATTGGATATCAATGGTAGTTGTTGTAATCTCTACCCCTTACATGATCCGTATCCTCACCATTCTCTATGCTATTATCGTTGTTGCAAATGGTGCGCAGAGCTGCACTAATGACTCTCAATGCCCAGGTGGAAAATGCCTTTGCACGAGCGGGAAGTGTATGTATCCACTCCCTTTCTTGAGTTGTTTACCACAAAACCCAGAAGATTGTCTCGGGTTCATTTCCTGTGAATGTAAATCAGGTATCTGCGTATAGTGAGGTATATACTAGGTAACCATTGACAGTCGTAGTGCGGCGTAATTCTCACGGAGAATCAGACTCTGTCTTTACCAGTTTATGTTGGGAACCCTGGGTGTGAGTTATCCCATTATGTTCAGGATCTGTGATGCATCCGAGTTATTTCTTTCATTCTTTGTATCTATTTCATTGCTTAATACCTTTGAATGACAATGTTTTCTTGTGACGCAACCGATATTCAATCTGAGAAGTTCATTGCGAAGTCCGTACCATAAAAGTAGAGTCTCGAATCTCTTCGTGATCCAAATATGTACGTAAGTACTTCGATGCTTCTCACTCTGATTTTCAGTTCTGGTCTGTTCGACAGACATTGTTGTAACACTACCGGAGATATTTGTCATAGCAGGAAGAGCCATGTTGAGTTACACGAGAGTCAGCCGTCAATATCTCCTCACGAGAAACTCATAGAGTAGTGCAGAGCCGTGGGGCATCATTCTGCCCCCCTATTGAAGAGAAGGCGAGAAATAATATGCTTCACCTCCAGAGATAAGAAGGGTTGTAGACGACGTAACTGCCCTGTTTCGAGCCAACAAAGACCATTTTCTGATCCTTTTATAGTATACCTTGAATACACTGGTACAAAGGCATATACTATCTCTTATCGGATCCCTCAATGTATGTTCCAATCACAGAAACGCATCAGATGCATCGCATCTCTCACCTGGACTAAGCTCAGGCGAATAAGACTTATCGAATCTTCAAACCTCCACATCACTTGTCGACAGCTGTGAATCCGATAATTCTTCATTATCCCTATATGCCGTTTTCGTCATCGAGCGGAGCAGATAACTACCCATGAAGTGTCCAAACGCCTCGTGTGGCAGCCACACAGCATTCCTGTCATCACTTATGACGTAAGCTAACACATCCAACGTCCTTCTGGC